CACGTGTGCGTGCCCAAGATCTTGAGAGAAGAATGGAGGAGAAGGGATTGTGGCGTGGCTATCCCCCCCGGGGGGTGATTTCTCGCTTTCTATCTCTCTGTGTCTCTCTTTCTGGCGAGTGTACAAGTCCTATAGCAAAAACCTCTCCAAAAAAAAATAAATAAATAAAATTTTAAAAAGAAAAATAAAAAGAACCCGTTCTTTTTTTAAATCACTACAATTATTTATTTATTTAATTCCATTTGTTATTATTATTTTTAATTTGACCAGACACAGACAGAGAAAAAGGGAAAGTGAGAAAGCAAGCCACCAGGTCCAGGACTCAAAGTGTGGTTGGCCATATGGGAATCCAGTGCATGCCTTTTTTAATGATTTTATTTAAATTTATTATTTGTTTATTTATTTTTAATTTGACCAGGGAGGGACAGAGTGAGAATGAGAGCGGGATAGAAAGTAAGAAAGCAAGCCGCTGGGTCCGGGACTCAAACTGCAGTCAGCCATGTGGGAATCCAGCATCCTTAGCCACCATGCCAACTGCTGGCCCTGCCTTTTTTTTTTTTTTTTGCAGATTAGTTTATTTTTAACACCCATCATGCCATGAATTCATAGGGAATAGGTTCCAGTAGCTCAGGCTCCTTTCCATTGGTTCTCACAAAGTGTGCTTCTCTGGGTGGAGCAGGCTGGCGCTTCAGTTGAACCCAGGTACCTTTCTCTTTGGCTTCTTTCTTTTTCTGGTCATTTTCCTTCACACGTTTTAGGAAGCTATCTCTGCTCGTAGAATGCTTAATATGCTCAATATGCACATTGATTCTCTTGGCAAGAATCTTGCCCTTGTTTGTTCACAAGAAGGCCAACAGCATGCTGGGTAACACTGGAGACTCTTCCAGCTTTGCCATGGTAACACCTGTTGGGCATTCCCTTTTGAACAGCACCCATTCCCTTAATGTCTACAATATCACCTTTCTTGTAGATTCGTATATATGTTGCCAAAGGAACAACTTCATGTTTTCCAAAAGGCCTAGAGAACATACATCGGTTGCCTCTCCTTCCCTTTGTGTTCGTCATTTTGGTTCATTACTGGAAGATGGCGGTTCTGGCCAAGAGTAGAATCCAGTGCGTCTAACCACTACGCCATCTGCTGGCCCAAGAGCCCTTTCTCTAAAAGGCAGAACCCAAAGTAATCTTCTCTTTGTTCCTTTATTTTATTTATTTATTTATTTTTTGTAAGGCACATGTGTTCACCAGAGGGTGGGGGGGAAGTGAGAAATCACCCCTAAAGGAGGTGCCCATGCTGGGTCACACTGCAATACCTTCTTCTCCAGTCTCTTCCTGGGATTTTTGGGTGTGTATGCGTATATACACACACCCAGCATGTTTTTTTAAGCCTTTGGGTCTGGGACTTGAAATCAAGCAGTTATCCATGTGGGAGCCAGCAGCTTAACCTCCCTGCCACCTGTTAGACCAGAGCTGTGTTCCTTAAAGTTTGATCCTCATACATGTTCTCGATTTCCACAAATTACACTCTGACTAAACCCACTTCGGATGCAAAGTAAGCTGCTAAAAAATGTTAAATTTAACCCAAACTCTTTAATCCTGGTAAATACCATAAGTATGCTTAAAGAAAATTTCCACATCCTTTGTACTCTGAGAAACAGCCTAGTGCAAAGAAACACCACACTAATATTTAGATGACACCCCATTAAAAATAAAATACCTAGGGGCCAGCAGGTGGCAAGGCGGTTAAGGGCGCTGGACTCTCACATGGCCGATCATGGTTCAAGTCCTGGCCCTGGTGGCTTGCTTTCTCACTTTCTCTCTCTCGCACTCACTCTGTCCTTCTCTGGCCAAATTAAAATAAATAAATAAATAAATAAACGTTAATAAAATAATTCTTTTTTGTTTCTTTTGAGAGGTTTTTGCTATAGGGTGTGTGTGCTCACCGAAGAGACAGAGACAGAGAAACAGAAAGCGAGAAATCACCCCCCCAGGGGGATGGCCACACCATAATCCCTTCTCTTCCATTCTTCTCTCAGGATCTCAGGCACGCACGCACATGTGCCCGGCATGAATTTAAGCCACCGGGCCCGTGGACTTGAACCATGGTTAACTACATGGAAGTCCAGCAACATAGCCATTATATCAACTGCTGGACCCTAAATAAAATAACTATTTTTAAAAAGTAAATTAAAAAAATACCTATAGGGATTAGTAAGTGGCAAAGTAGTTAAGGTGCTGGACTCCCAGATGGTTAACCACAGTTTGAGTCCTGTACCCAGTGGCTTGAAACTCATGCCAGGCATATGTGTATGTGTGCCCAAAATCCTGAAAGGAGAATGGAAAAGGGATTACAGCATGGCTAACTCTCTGGGGGGTGATTTCTCACTTTCTGTCTCTCTGGCAAGCACACGTGCCCGCTAACAAAAAATCTCTAAAAATAAAAATAAAAAATCTGCGGCAGGCCAGTAAGTCGGGTGGATCCATCATGGTCAGCTCTGTGGTTTGAGTCCTGGACCTGGTGGCTTGAAAAACACACCAAGAGCGTGTGTGTACATGTCCAAAATCCCAAGAGGAAACAAGAAGAGAAAGAACTGTAGTGTGGCCACCTCCCCCCAGTAATTTCTCGCTTTCCCTCTTTCTCTCTGCTACGTACATGATTGCTACAGCCAGAAAAACAAACAAACAAACAAACAAACAAAAAATCCAAAGGGGACCAGCAGCTGGTGTAATGGTTATGTTGCTGGATTCCCATGCAGTCGGTTGTGGTTCGAGTCCCGGACCCAGTGGCTTAAAACTCATGCTGACATTGGGGCCAGCAGGTGGCATGGTGGTTGAGGGTGCTGGACTCCCACATGGCCAAACCCAGTTTGAGTCTCAGACCTGGTGGGTTGCTTTCTCACACACCCCCTCCACCCAACCTCGCTCTGTCTCTCTCTGGCCATTTAAATTAAAATAAATAAATTAAGTTAAAATAATTCTTTAAAAAAAAAAAAAACTCATGTCAGGTGCATGTGTGTCTGGGTTCAAAATCCCGCGAGAATGAAAGAGAAGAGATTGCGGCGTGGCCATCCCCTCTGGTGGATGACTTCTCACTATCTATCTCTGTTTCTCTCTGTCTCTCCAGCAAGCGCACACACTCTATAGCAAAAATGTTTCTACAAAAAAACATAAAACAAAACAAAACATGACAAGGTCAAACTTCCAAGTTCCATACAAAGCAGATTTGTTTTAAGTCAGAACAAAATATTTGTTACTTAAACTTTGCCTTGTCTCTCTTCTTCCTACGGATCTCTAAACTTTGTGCCACTCTCAGCCTGATCCAGCAGAGAACCTGTTCTTGAGGGAACTTCTTAAAACAGGCTGACCACGGCGAACAGGTGGCATAGTTGTTGAGGTGCTAGACTCTCATGCGGCCTATCACAGTTCAAGTCCTGAACCAGGCCGCTTGAAACTCATGCTGGGTTTGTGTGTGTGCATGCCCAGAATCCCAGAAGGAGAATAGAGGAGAAGGGAGTGCAGTGTAGTCATCTCCCTGGGGGGTGATATCTTGCTTTTTGTCTCTCTGCCTTATCAGCAAGCACACACACCCTATAGCAAAATCTTTCAAAAAGGAGCCAGCAGGTGGCATGGTAGTTGGTGGCACTGGACTCCCACATGGCCACCACTCCGTGGTTCGAGTCCTGGACCTGACAGCTTGCTTTCGAACTTTCTCTCTCTCATCGTCACTCTCACTTTCTGTCGCTCTTTGGTCAAATTAAAATAATACAATAAATAAATAAAGTTAAATAATTCTTTCATTTAACTTTATTTATTTATTATTATTATTTTTTAATTTGACCAGAAAGAGAGAGAGAGAAGGTGAGAAGGCAAGCCCCAGGACCGGGGCACTAAAACCGTGGTTGGCCATGTGGGAGTGTCCAGCACCTTAATATCCGCGCTACTCACTGGTCCCTGAAATAACTCTTAAAAAAGAAAAAAAAAAGAAAAGCTCAAGAAAAAAAAAATAGACTAACCACATGGTAAAATACACTCTAATCTGGGATCTTATTTTGCCACCTTCCATTTACCCTCTCCCTTCAACTTTACTAATTTTGTCTGCTCCAAATAAAATAAAAAATAATTTTAAATTTTTCAAAAAGGAAAAACAGGGACCAACAGTTAGCATAATGGTTATGTTGCTGGACTCCCATGTAGTCAACCGTGGTCTGAGTCCCGGACCTGGTGGCTTAAAATTCATGCTGGGCGTGTGTGCGTGGGTGCCCAAGATCCCAAGAGGAGAATGGAGGAGAAGGGATTGCGGTGTGACCATCCCCCCTGGGGGGTGATTTCTTGCTTTCTGTCTCTATGTCTCTCTCTGTCTTTCTGGCGAGTACACACACCCTACAGTGAAAACCTCTCAAAAAAAAAAAAAAATTAAAACAAACAAACAAAAAACCCCCCCAGATCTCACATGGCCAACCATGCTTCAAATTCCACCTGGCAGCTTCACAAAGATGCTGGGAACATGTAAATGTGTGCTCCAAATCCTGATGGGATGGAGAAATGGACAGGGATTGCAGTATGACCATGCCTCATGGCGAGCAGGGTGGTGCTGTCTCTCTTCCTGCCAAAAACACAGGTTCTCTGACAATTAAAAAAACAACGGGGGGGCAGCAGGTGGCATGAAGGTTAACATGCTGGGTCCCATGTACTGGCTGTGAGGCTCAAGGCCTGGAACCGGTGACTTGAAATGATGCTAGGGGTGTTTGTGTGTGTGAATGCCCCAAATCTCAAGAGGAGACTGGAGAAGGGACTGTGATATACCACCCTCCCTGGGGGGAGGTGATTTCTCACTTTCCTTTTCTCTCTTTCTCTAGTGAGCACATGTATCCTATAGCAAAAACTAAAGCAAACAAATAAACCAACCTGTCTCCTGTCTCCTTTTCATTCCCGCTCTCTCTCTCAGCCATAAACAAAGAACGCCCAGTGTTGAAGAATCCAGTAAGATCAGTATTTATACTTACAAGAGAGAAGGAAGTTCTAAGGCAATTACATCTTCTACTTCTCAGGCAAAGCACAGAATCTAGCCCTTTCAGACAATAAAATGTTATTTCATTATTTCCATCATTAAACCATTTCCAACTGTTTTGTTATTAATTTCCAATTGTTTTGTTATTAATCCTATCTGAACACATCTGATGGCTCCCATGCCCAGTCCATAATATTCGAGCACTAGCCTCTAAAAAGTTCAGGTAGCAGAGAACAATTATTCACTCAAAAGCTTACTACACTGGGACCAGCAGGTGGTGTGATGGTTAAGGTGCTGGACTCCGACATGGCCAACTGCAGTTTGAATCCTAGACTTGGCAGCTTGCTTTCTCACTTTCCCTCTCTCTGTCTCTGTCTCTCTGGTTAGCGCACGAGACCTATAGCAAATTTAAAAAATAATAATGAACCAGCATGTGGCATGGTGGTTAAGGGCGCTGGACTCCCACATGGCCGACCATAGTTCGAGTCCCGGACCTGGAGGCCTGCTTTCTTGCTTTCCATCTCTCTCTCACTCTGTCCCTAAATAAATAAATAAGGCTGAATAAAATATTTCTTAAAAAATATAATAATAATAATAATGGAACTGGGACCAGCAGATGACATAATGAATAAATGGGAGTCGTTGGACTCCCATGTAGTCAACCGTGGTTCGAGTCCTGAACCCAGGCCTTAAACTTATGCCAGGTGTGTGTGTGTGTGTGTGTGTGTGTGTGTGTGTAAACAACTTCTACCTTAGCAGGAGAGTCAATGTAGGAAACAATAAGAAATTTGTCAGGGATTGCCCTAGGGCCTAGAGGCTAAGGGAGCAGGATCCCAACATGAAGACCACAGTTCAAATTCCAGCCCAGTGGGATTGTAAAACAGGCCAAGCTCAAAATTCCAACAGGATGGGACACTGGTGGTGGCAGGGTGGTTGAGGGTGCTGGACTCCCACATGGCCAACCATGGTTCGAGTTCTGGACCTGGCAGCTTGCTCTCTCCCTCTCTTCTTTCTCTGTATCTGTCTCTCTTTGGTCAAAATTGAAAAATCATGATACTAAATAAATACTTCTTTTAAAATAATAAGACTAATAATAATAATAAATAAAATTAAGTAATTTTATTTTTTAAAAAGTTTACAACCCTAGGGAACCAGCAGTTAGCGTAATGGCTATGTCGCTGGACTTCCACGTAGTCGACCGCGGGTCGTGTCCCC